GGGAGGGGCTAAGAAGAAAGACAAAAAGCAAACAAGCAAGTTCTTCAACACTTACACCAACAAGGTGAACAAGAAGGCCTCCACACCTTATCTCTCGAAGAAGAGGAAAAATGACAAGGTGGTGGCCATCAAGGTGAACAAGCAAGCCAACATAGGGGCCAAACATATTTAGGTGTCAAAGGAGATCATTTCCAATATGAAGAGCACCAAGAAGGTTTGAATCCCGAAAGGGAAGTGAGAAATCCAATAGACCTTGGGGAATTTAGAGACTTAGTAAAGTATGGGTGCATTTTATGGGGTGCATCACATTGGATCATGACAATTGCCAAGTGGGTTAGTGAACAATATGGACCCAAATTCCCCTTCTCATGTTAGGTAACTAGATTTAATTTATTGTAATTTCAAATAGCATCTAGTTTCTTTTCATGCCTAGGTTCGCATTTGCATGTTTAATCCTTTGTCTTGTATACACTAGGTATATCTTATGGTAGGCTTGCTCCGTTTCACTCTTAACCCTTGGAGCAAACCTACATGGTTTAATTTGTTTAGGAGCATGGCACATAGCTTGTTTTATAACTGTTCATCTAATATGTGCTAAAGTCTAAATTGTAAATAATCTCTCCCGAATATTACTTTCGAAAATGATTCTCACATTCATGTGATGTCATCTTTCAAGTGGTATTTTTTATTCTAAAATTAATGTGCATGTCTCCTACAAGTATTCCATACTTGTGTGCACAAATTTAGGGGGAGGTTACTCTACAAGTTGGATGCTTTGAGACTAACACCTTTTTAAGCTTATCATGTGTGTAGTAGTCTCATTGCAAGGAAAATGGAGTCCCCGGAGTTAGACATCATATTTCCAATTGGTATCAAATTGGTTTTCACATGTGGTATTTCTAAACCGATATCATCATGTTGATTTCACTTTGGTCTTTATATACTTTCTTCATGCATTATATAGATTAAACTCCCTTGAGCATTAATTTACCAATTATGCATAAGCTACATTCTCCATCATATGTATGCATAAATTGAAGGAGAGCTTAGTCTATGTAATGTGAGAGTCAAATTTTATGACCTATTTCACTTCACATACAAAGGATTACAAAGTTTGACCCTCCCTTGTGCTACTAATGTCTTTCTTTTCGATGTTTGATTCCAAAGGGGGAGAATTTGTAGGACCAAAAGCAAGCATTAATTTGTAGGACCGAGCCCAATCATAATAATTTACAAGTGGTAATGGTTTGAAAAAAGGGAGGATAGTGGATTATGGATTAGTCTATGTAATTGGGAGAATTTGTAGGATAAAAAACAAGCATTAATTTATAGGACCGAGCCCGATCATAATAATTTACAAGTGGTAATGGTCTGAGAAAGGGAGGATAGTGGATTATGGATTAGTCTATGTAATGGAGAGAATTTATAGTACCAAAAAGCAAGGCTTAAATCCATAATGCCACATGGGGACATTTGCAAGGGCAAGATAAGTTTCAAAAGATGTTTACATGTGGTATCTTTTAGCTTTACAATTGGTATCTTCAATTAGTATCTTTTAGTCTTACAAGTGGTATCTTTCAGCATCATATAACCTTACCCTTTGCATTGCATCCTAGCAAGTAGATAGTTTTTAAATTCTAAATTTTTATTATTTGTTTGGTTTGGTCGTGTTGTCATCAATTATCAAAAAGGGGGAGATTGTAAGGAAAATGGACCCTAGGCCCATTTACTTTGGATTTTGGTGTTTGATGACCAACACAACTAAATTGGACTAATGAATTTACAAGTGATTGTTTTGTAGTTCAATAGGGTGTAAGACGTGACTTGGACGAAGGCGACATGGTGATCCCACGATCAATACCATAAGCAAGACTCTATAAGCACAATAGAAGACCCAAGATATCAAGCAAAGTCCAAGCACGAAGATAGAAATCAAGCTGGACGCAAGATCGTGAAGAAACGAGCTCACAGAGGTGACCAGACGCTGGCGGCGTAGCGACTGGACGCTCCGATCAGTGGCTCGGCAACAGCAACAACGATCGAACGCTGAGTACTGGAAGTGACCGGACGCACCGATGATACTATTCATCATCCCGGCAACACACTCAGTAGTAACCGGACGCTGGCGGCAAATCGATCGGACGCGGGAATTGCAGTGTCCAATCGACTACAAAGAGGTTCCAGAGCGGCGAAATTACGACCGGGCGCGTCCGGTGGCATGTGACCGGACGACATCAGCGTCTGATCAGTTGATCGCGCGCCCTAATGGTCGGGACGCCTGTCAGGACGAAAGCAGCGTCCGGTCAGTAGCAGAAAAGCGGGATTTCGTCCCGAACGGCTACTTTCTCAGTGGGACTTATAAATAGACCTCCAACTGGCCATTTGAAATAAGTGGAGCTGAGAAAACATACCAAGGGTGTTGATACACCATTTTAGTGATCTCCACTTGCATAGTGCTTAGTGATTCATTAGTTGATTAGCTTAGGTGCTTTGCAAAGTGCTTAGGTTGATTAGACCACCGCTTATACGCTTGCTCTAGGTTTAGGCCTAGTGTTTAGTGAGGTTTGCATACCTCTTATCACTCGGTACTTGTGCGTACCATTGTTATATATCGGAGGGGCTTGTAATCTTGTGAGATCACACCAACTACGTTTGTGGTGTGGTCGCCACCGTGTACCGGAGGGAACAAGGCCCGTGGCGTTTCGGCTGGAAGTTTGATAGTGAAGACGGTGGGGAGCGGTCCGGGAGACGCTTGCCGGAAGGCACACCGAAGACCCACTTGAGCGTGGGGAAGGCCCGGGGATATGCACGGAGTTACCCGACCGGGAGCTTGGCCCTTGCGAGGGGCTCCAACAAGGACTAGGAGAAAGTTTACGCGCTTCTCGATACCTCGGTAAAAATACTGGAGTAGCTGATGTGAATTTGCATATCTCTACCTTACTCTTTAGCTTCGCATTTATATTGTTTGTATTACTTCTTTTTGTAGAGATAGCAACACACTAGTAAAACCATAGTTGTACGTTTAGATAGTTTATCTTTTGCATAGGTTTTGCTAAGGTTAGAAAAAATACCATAGTTTAGAGTTAGAATTTTAAGTTGCCTAATTCACTCTTCTCTTAGGCGTCACGGTCCCTACAGAACGTGGGATAGCTGAGGAATTTTTTACCTCCACCCGACAAAACGTGCCCTCGTGGAGGATTGAACCCAAGTCACTAGAATGCCTTGACCATCCGGTCTATGCGCCGTTCGCACAATCCAGTACATATGACACCATGAAGAAAATAACGATGGTCACTCTCGATCAACACATGTACCACAGCTACTGCAAGAGTAGTACTACAATATACTTTAGAAAATTCTCTATGTAGTATCGGAATGTGACATGGTTATATTTTTAGCACAGAAAGTTAAAATTTCCCTAATATAGCATTGGATTCGTTTTTAATTCCCAATAGAGCATTATCCTTAGATGTGGCCTCTAACACCATCAACTATGAGGGAAAAACACCATTTTACCCCTGTTTTATGTATAGCACCATCAACATGTTTACAGTGATATTTTATTGCACATTTTTTTTGACAGTACCATTTTCTTACATTGAACATTTTTTGACAGTACAATTTTTTCCGCTCATATTTTTTCACAAAATTATACTGTCATAAATAATCTGTGCAAAAAAATGGTAACGCCAAAAATTGTTCATGGACTAAAAAAATCTGTATTGGTTAAAATATGTTCAATGCCAAAAAATAGTACTGTTTTGAAAAATCTATGCTATTAACATACTGATGTGGCTACACATGAAGCAAGAGTAAAATGGTCTTTTCTGCTCAGTTTGACGGTGTTAGAGGCTAAATATAACGACAGTGCTATATAGGGAACAAAAAACGAACCCAATGCTGTATTGGGAACTTTTTATCATTCAGTGCTAAATAAGGAACCATGTCATCTTCCGATTCTAAATGTGGAATTTTCTTATATTTTTTTCTACCGATTGTGCTAGTTCAAAATTCTATATCGGCGATGAAAAGAATCAGAAGCAACCGAAATGCTTGGCATGATTCTTTTTTTTTCACTGAGAATCGATTTATAAGCGGAAACAAATAAGGCCATAGCGCGTGTTTGAGACCACGTTTTCTACGGTGGAAATGAAAAGAAGCGAAGAATCATGCTAAATGTCTAGTGGCATGGACTATTCTTTTCACCACCGATGGTGTGGCATACATTTCGCACCGCGGTCCCAAACACGCCCATATTGTACTGAAAATAATAATTAGATTGTCCTACAGGAGCACAAACTCGATGCTCGTACAAGCATGCACCTAAATAAATCTATAACTAAGTTATACATGATCCAATGAGTATGAAAATTTCACTACAATTCAAGCATACAATAATTAGTCCACCATAAAAATTTCACCACAATTAGACCATAGAAACTGCAGCTATGAACTAATTATGGAAAAACATAGATCTAAAGTAACAACAAAAATTTTGTACTAAAGCATACCATATTATATGTTCACCGTGTAGATCTATTCATGTGGAGTCCAACAAGATTGGATTTTTCTATTTTATGATTTTTCTGTGATTTACTATAATTTTTCAAATATTTAGCTGAAATAAATAAAAAAAAATAAAACCAAGTCTCTGAAAAGTGCTTATAACCGTATAGGATGTGGAACGAACGATTTTAATTTAGGGAGATGGTTTATCGGTTATAAAGTTTCACAAAAGTTAAGGGAGACTATGTACTTTTTCCTTTTCCACAAACATACCGCCACCGGCACCAGCCCACCACATGCCGGCAGGCCCGATCAGGTTTACGAAGGTAACACCGACGGACCGACCGGCCCCGAACCCCAACCGGCCCAATACTACCCGGAACCCGCACGCGACGCCGACCGCAGATCCTTCGTCTCTTTCTCCTCTCAGCCCTCCCTCCCTCGTTGGCGAAATCGACTCAAACCCTAACCCCTCTCTTTGCCATTCACCACCCATGGATCGCGACCGCTCCTCGCGCCGCACTCGCGACGACGACGGGCACCACCGATCCCGCGACCGGGACGACGACCGACACCACCGCCGCAGTCGCCACGACACCGACGCTCACCACAGGCGCGACGGCGGAGACGAGGACCGCCGCCGCCGCCACCACCGCGACAAGGACGGGGGCGGAGGCGGCGAGGATGACCGCCGCCACCGTCACCATCACGACAAAGACGACAGCCGTAGCCACCGCTACCGCGACGGCGGGGACGACAACCGCCGCCGCGGGAACCGACGGTCTGTTTCCCCGTCCGAGTCCCTACCACCCTCATCAAAGCGGGACTGCTCGTTTAGCCGCCCGCGGGAGTCCGTCGAGCGCCGTGACTCCACCGACCGTGAGCCGCGGTCGTCATCGCGAAAGCAGAAGGGCCACGAGGGCGGTGGCGATGGGGACGAGCCCAGCCGCGAAGGGGGAAAGCGGGTCAGGACATCCGTAGATCCGCCTCCACCCAAGGAGGAGAGGCCTAGGTGGGAGCGCCGGAGGTTTGAGGATGTCAATGCGATTGGGAAGAATGGTGATGTGAGTAAGCTGGGTAAGGAAATCTCATCTCATGAGCAGAAGAAGGGGGAGCTATCAATTAACGGGGATTCACAGAACGGCGATGCGCGTAATGTAAGTGTTATTACAGTTGCTGAGTTCCGTTTATTGTGTTTTCATGTTGATTACTAAAGCTTGGGCAAGAGAATGCTTATGAGTGCTAGTATATCCTTTTTGTCAAGTGAGCGATGGTCTTACTACTAGTTTCTGGGTTATGGAAACCTGGAGAAATGGAATGGCTAGATTATTGGGTCATACTATTTGCTTAGTTCATAGAATATCAGTTCATAATCTGTCATCTGTCTAGAAAATGTTGAAGAGCTTAAAGTCTTTCTGCAGAATCTGCGTTTTAAGGTTCATTTCTGCTCAAGAAGTTTATGCCATCTAAAAAATTGAGTGGTATTGCTTGAATGTCTCCTTGTGAAAATATCTTAGGAGATTAACAGTTACTGAGCTTGATTTGATTAGCCACTGTTATTACAATGCCAACTTTTGCCCTAGATTCAGTAAGAATAAGGCAGCTATGGCAATGCTTCCTAAGTCATAATTATGACTGTTTTGTGCTGTCATAAGTCTACAGTATGCTTTGTTTGACACTTATCAGTTGGAAGTATGGTGCACTTATGCAGCTTTTCTTATTATTGTAAAAACATTTTAACATGCTACTCAGCAGTCAAGACTTTAATGCAGTCCCCTATTGGTTCATGTTTGCCCAGTGATGGATAGTATAGTTATATTTTTGAGGAATCGAAATGATGTTTTAAATATGAAGTTGTTTGAGGAATGTCATAGTATTTTTGCCCATGCTATAATCTGCCTATTGGCTACAGATGCTACTTTTGCATTTGGTCGTAGTCTCTTTACTCTCGCAAGGCTGTGGCATTTAAAGTGAATGCCTGTTAAAAATTGTTCATTTTGATATGCTAAGTCATATGCTGGTCAGGATTTGAAGATGCACTAATTTTTTGTGTGCTTTGGGCTATCCTGCACATTCCACTTGACCATTTTGTTAGTACTTTTTTTTGGATGCGTTTGTTGTATTCTCTGTCTTTTTTAAGTGCCATGTATTTTGAGACAAAATTGATGATTCATTATATTGCTATTGTTTATTTCTCTGTATGACTTCTCATCTCATATTTTGCAGGCTGGTTCTCAGCAACCGCTCAGTGCCGTTTCTGTGTCATCTTCTGTCCCCATTCCTTCAAAGGTATCGTCAATTTCTACCAACAATGCAAATGAGGGAGTTAGTATTAGATCTGATGAGGTTACCGTAAAATCTAGTACAGATGGAAGTGCAACATCTGCTGCTGGCAAAAGCAGTAACCTATCTCTTGATGCTTTAGCCAAAGCAAAAAAAGCTTTGCAACTGAAGAAGGAACTGTCAGAAAAACTCAAGAAATTACCTATGGTAAGAAAACATAGCTGTTCCAAGTCCCTTGCTCTAATTTTTCATCGTACCTTGGCAACTGTTCTAAGCTTATTTTTCCCCACACAGCTTAATAATAAGCCTGGTACAGCTTTTGCTGCTACACAAGTTTCTAAAGAAGAAGCAAAAACTTCTGTATCAGCTGAAGATGCACAACTCTTTTCTAAAGGAGAAGCAAAACCTACTGATGTCTCTGGAACGCTGGCCATAGGTGGTGCAATTGGTATTCCAGGTCTTACAAACATTCCCAATCTCGATTCTGTGAAGCGAGCCCAAGAACTTGCTGCTAAGATGGGGTTCCGCCAAGATCCACAATTTGGTCCTCTCATAAACTTATTCCCTGGTACATCCACTGAGGTTACTGTACCACAAAGACCTGCAAAGGCTCCTGTTCTTCGCCTTGATGCTCAAGGTAGGGAAATTGATGAGCAGGGAAATGTTATCAGCATGACAAAGCCAACAAATCTGAGTACTCTGAAGGTAAATTTTCATAGGTTACTATAGAGCTTACTATAGAATTTTATCCATGTTTTTTTTTGTATGGTGACTGGTACTATCTGGTTCTACCTTGGTTAGGTCAATATAAACAAGCAGAAGAAAGAGGCTTTTCAAATAATCAAGCCGGACTTGGACTCTCTTGCAAAATCAAGTGTTCATTTTGATGAAAGGATGGGCATAAACCAAAAGAAGCTCCTCCGTCCTAAAAGGCCAGGATTTCAGTTCGTTGAAGAGGGTAAACTCACTAGGCAGGCAGAATTGCAGAAAATTAAGGTATGCAAGGGTGAACCTGCAAGATTTGTTTTGGTTATGTTTATCAATATTTCTTCTCCCTTATTTGAATGTCTCTTTACCTAGAGTCAATTTGGTGAAGCACAAGCTAAAGAGTTCAAAGTAAAGCAAGCCCAGCTTGCTAAGGCAAATGCAGAAGTAGACATGAATCCAAATCTTATTGAGGTTGCTGTTGGTGTGAGAGCTCCAAAACAAAAGCAGAAGGAAGAGATCCCTGAAATTGAGCCATGGTTGTTTCTTGCTTCCTCTTTGAATGATGTTTTTTTAAGGTTCTATGTTGTAAATGAACATAAACTAATTTTTATTGTTGTTTTCAGGGATGCAAAAATTTTACTTTCTGCCACATATGAGGATATCTCTGTGGAGAAGCTTAATATGGACAAGATCACCATGTATGTTGAACATCCAGAACCATATGATCCACCTGCTGAACCTGCACCACCGCCGCCCCAGCCACTGAAGTTGACTAAGAAGGAGCAGAAGAAGTTGAGAACACAAAGGCGTCTTGCTAAGGAAAAAGATAGGCAAGAAATGATTAGGCAAGGCCTCTTGGAGCCACCCAAGCCCAAGGTCAAAATGAGCAATCTTATGAAAGTACTAGGCTCTGAAGCTGTGCAAGATCCCACACGGTTGGAGATGGAAATAAGAACAGCTGCTGCAGAGCGTGAGCAGGCTCATGTTGACCGTAACATTTCCCGCAAGCTCACACCATCTGAGCGCCGTGAGAAGAAAGAACGGAAGCTTTTTGATGATCCTACTAACACAGTGGAGACTATAATTTGTGTTTACAAGATAAGAGACCTGTCCCATCCACAGACACGCTTCAAAGTCGATGTGAATGCACAAGAGAATAGACTAACAGGTGCTGCGGTCATCACTGATAGTATCAGTGTTGTGGTTGTTGAAGGGGGGAAGAAGTCAATCAAAAGGTATAATAAGCTCATGCTTAACCGTATAGACTGGGCTACTGCTGTTGGTGGTGATGAAGATGCAGAAGTGGAAGCTGACAAGCCAGTGAATAGCTGTGTATTGGTCTGGCAGGGTAGTGTGGCCAAGCCCACCTTCCACAGGTTCACGGTACACAACTGCCGGAGTGAGGCTGCAGCTAAGAAGGTTTTCATTGACGCTAAAGTTCCTCACTACTGGGACCTTGCTGTCAATTTCTCAGAAGATTCTTCCTGAGTAAAGCACCTGTTAAGAACCTTGGGTAGCTGCTGCTGATCTTTGCTGGCTACATGCTAGTGGTGTGTGGCCAGTGTTATAGCGCTTGTCATGATGGTAAGTCTTGTTATCACGAGTATCTACACCAACGGGCACATCTGCTGAAGTGCTGAACTGAGTAATGCTTGGTGTTGTCAGTCTGTTGTGAACATGCCATTTCAGAGATGTTGATGTTTATTGCTGGATTTTCCTGTGGACTAGAAACTATGTTGCGATGAACTGTTGAATTTTGCAGTGTGCATTTGGAATAAATCTATTGCAACAAATGACTACAACTTTGGTATATACCATGGCAACATCAAAGGTTGTCTGAAACTTTTAAATTTCATATTTCAAAATCTGAGAGCGTAAAACAACATTATGGGACAGTTTTTAATAAAAAACTTCTAAACTACAAAGTTGCATATCATGTTGTGGGCTACAATTTTGATATAAAATTTATCTTCATTTCATTCATATAGAAAAATTATGAATTATTTTTAGATACAACTATTTATGTTTATCGGTTTTTAGAGACAGATGATTAGAATGAATGTCTCTGTTAACAGCAATTTTCTGATAAAGCATCTTAAGACAGCCGTCTCTAAAAATCGATTTACACGGTTGTCTTAGGATGCCTATATCTGTAAATTGATTTCGTAGGCAGGCATGGCTAGAGACCGCCTGACCATCTATGGAGACAATATGTAGATGTGTATGCATCTGTTAATCATAAAGACTATCATCTTCTGAAATCAATTTTGTGGCAGTGAGCGGTGGTGGGGAAGATGGGGGTTCAAGCTAAGCCTCCCTTACCGCCTCCATCACAATGGAATTTCCCCATAAGCCCCTCTCACTTTTCTAGCCATGGAAGAGATGAAAGTTGAAGATGACATGGGACCCGTTTAAAGAAACTGTTTATATAATGCATGGCAGGAGAGCGACACTTTCACATGCAAATAATTCCGGGTGCTATATGTATTTAATTCTCGGGCTTAAGTTTCAAATGAGATATGCAAATTTATAAGATTAAAAGAAATATAAAATTTATGCAAAAGTATATCAACGTTATACTATTACGGAACCGCTTTAACTTGAGATAAAATCTACTTTCTATGGCATTTCTATGACTTCAACTAAAATAACAAAAAAGAGACCATGCGTTGTCAACGTTTAAAACACACACTCTTTTATCTGTGACAGGAGAAAGTGTAGAAGTAATCATTTCAGTGCCGCCCGATCGAAGAATGGCATGCGTGGCTCTCTCCGATTGCCGGGCGGCCGGACCCTCCAAAATAAAGACATCACGATAGATCTCTCTCCATCCTATAACTTGCATGTCATACCCATTTCGTGGTGCCATTCAATGCGTGCATGGTCTCCATCGTGATCGCCTGCGCTTTCTTTTCCCCCTTAATAACTGGTTTCAGTGAAGCTTCGCCAGCTTGCTACGTACTATCTACGGTAGTGTGCATGCGATGCGACTGTACATACGTACGTACGTTTCTGTCTGCGTGGGGCCGGGGCCGGGGCCGGGCAGGGATCGGAGATGCAGTGTGCATGTGTATATATACTAGCAGGTTGCCCCGCAAATAGCGCGGGTAGCTAATTTGCTTATTATAATATTTATAATTTTTTATTTAATAAGTAGTTTCCAAATAATTTCATTTATTTATTTGATTATAATTATCTTCTCTCCATGCATCTTTACTCTATCTATTAACATGAACTCCAATCCGGACTTAACACTAGTTATTGTCATCTTTCTTGTCTCTTCTTTTTTTCCAATACTATTTTGTGGCCGCATAATTTTAGCTAAGGTCAAATCAAGCCGCATAATACTATTTTGTGAACTCTATTGGCATAAAATCACTTTCCAAGTCTTTATCTACTTCCTTAGTTCTCTTATAAATTTAAATTCAAGATGATCTTGATGCTTCTAATATTATGGATCTTTAGCGTCTTTTTTTCCTAGCCATCCGCTAGGAGCGAAACACCACCATTTAGTTCCATGTAAAAATTAGTCAATTTAATACACACAACTTATATAATGAGTTATCCTATTAGTTGTCTCGTAATAACTCACAATTTCTTAATTGGTGCATAGAATAAAAGAAATATTATGAGTTGCATGGCAATCATAATTCATACAACTTTGTCGAACTTGGCACATAATCCTCAATTTTAGCTTATTAGTGGTTGTTTTGCGAAACACTTTTTCTCACCTCGCTATCTGTCCACATCATCAAAATTTCTATGTGGCTTTGCATTGAACTACCTATGTGACCACTAATGTCTGGAGATGTCCTCAGCTAAATCGCAGTGGCAGCATTTGGAGATGTTCAACACTAGTTTCTCATCGTTGGCAGCCTCGATTGATTTTATCCATTGAACCGATGATGCTCTATAAACAAATATAATTTTCTTTTATCTTTGCATTGAAATTCACAAAATATGAGATGATAAATAATACTTTGTCTAATTCTAAAATAAATGTTTCTTGAAACAAATGATCAAAAGCATTGAAGTATTAAAAGTATTTCAAATTATCAATCACAATTACTTAATATCAAGTACACATTGAGTTAGAATTTCTAGACAACTTTATGAATTAGGATATATGGCTTGCATATGTTCTACTCCTAGAATGATGATGATTACATACCACAACTATGAAATAAAGCATGCATGACGCTGCTAAGTGTAAAGCATAGAAGCTAAGACATGTTAGAATATATAGAAATTAAAACATTTAAAGTTTCTCTTGAATAAGAACTTAAATCATGTGATTATAGACTTGTATTGTCTCTAAACTTAGTATCTAAAAGTATCAGTAGTAATGTGGGTGATCATGAGATACGGAGAAGGACAATTTTTAACCATTGACAATGTGTTTTACAACAAGGACCCACTCTGAGCGGTCAATTGCCGCCACCTCCTGCCCTCCACCCGCCACCACTCTCACGACATGTACATCCCCAAGCTCAACGGCCCCTCCTGCCAGTGGAAAACTACTCTGGAAAATACCTAGCGCGGGGGACGTTCGAGCACATTAATTTTACTAGGGTTATCTGACGTGCATGAAAGTTGCTTGCTGTAGGTGTGTACGCATACAGTGTGTATATATAATAATATGTCATCATATATACAATGGCAAACTGGTAGTATTCACAAACTCGTATAGACTAGCTACTTTAGGGTTGATGTGCGTGGAATGTTCCACAACAGCATTTACTTATGAAATGGCATACACCTGCACATATTGTATTTAAGTATGCTACTAGCTTGAATTAATTGGGGGATTCTTTCCTCCATTTAACCATTGCACCTTAAAAATACAAACTAAACAGCAACAGCATTGATGTTTCCATATGCATATGTATGTTTCAATTTTAAATTGGTTGTGATTGATGTGACATATCCTTGGAACATTTCGAATATATATAGTTAAGCATCATCCATGCTGGGAGGGGAAAACACTGTCTTCTTCTTGAATTTAAGTTAAGCATTTCAAATTGGTGAAAGGTGTTATTGCAAGAAATGGTTACAAATCATATGGGATGCTTAGTACTTTTTTTTTTATCATAGAACATGTTTATCGAGTTATATGTGTATGCAAGGAACATGTTTAGCGTTGCTGTTAATGGTGTCAAAACTGCAAAAAGAAGACACCATTATCAGTGACACGAAATCGCGCCGCGTCTGTATATCATATCACAGACGTAATATAATAGTGTGTGATAAGATATGATCACAGACACGTGCCAATAAAATGCGTCTGTGATAAGATACCATCAGTGACTCATGTTGTCCAAACGTGTCTGTTTACTTTACTAAGGACGCGTCTTTGATGAGGCAACATCACAGACACGTAAAAAAAACACGTGTCCGTGAGATGTGGTCATTACAGACGTGTGAACACGTGTAGACGACGCAACAGCAGTGACTCGTGTCCAAACCGCGTCTGTAATTAAATTAAGACACACCTGTGATAAAGTGGTTTATGCCAAAGCTCTACCGTCGCAATTAATTTTCATTTATATTAACTTTCATGCATGCCTGTTTGTTGAGTTTATAGTGACCCCTCATGTCCCATTGCATGTGTTCTAGTATTTTAAGATCCTTAGGGTAGCCAGGTGTAGGAAATATGACCCCTCACCTTCTCATGTACCGGCCGGCCCAGATACACGCGCATCAGCTTGACCATATCATCAAACACAGAGAGAGAGAGAGAGAGAGAGAGAGAGGGGGGCGGCTGGGGAGAGGGAGATCTGTCTTGGCAGGCTTCCGCAGTAATGTGTGGCCCAGGCAGGCAATGATATTTCTGCATGTATGTATACGTAACCACACACACACTGTGAGTGAGAAAGAGAGACAGTTATGGCAAATGCAGCAGCGCAGCTGCATGCCAGCAGGAACTGCAATTCTGTTCGGTGGCCACCGGCAGAAATACAGGAGGCTTCTTTGTCGTCTAACTGTTGTTCGTTTCTTCCCCTGACGGATCTTTCTTCTTTCCTCCGATACGGCCCTGCACTGCACTGAACGCGCCACCACCAGTCACCAGTCTGCCATCTGATTCCACATGCAGACGTACACCCACATTGACGACGACGCATGCAACTGACTCTGCATGTCACTGGATGGATGGAGAGCTTCTCGTCTTTATGCATGAACCATGCATGTAGCCCATATGCATGGCTCTCGCTAGGGCTACACGCGGAGGGGGTAGTAGGTACGGTGCCAGTTGAATGTGCTTGAATGCGTTTATATGGCCGAGTAAATGCATGTGAATGCCGCATTCAGCTGCAGGAGGGAAGAGACCTCCAACTAGAAAAGTATGCAATTGTAGGATAGAAAAATATCGAGTTAAAGTATTTAGAGTTTGACTAACTATGTATATAAAAATATCAATACTTACGATATTAAATAAGCATCTTTAGATTTGTTATGAGATATATTTTCTTAGTATATCTGCTTGGTGT